GTCGCGGCACGCTGGTGCTCGCGCGGCTGCCGAGCGTGGAGCCGGAGCCGGAACCCGAACCACCTCCCGCGACCGTGCCGGGCGAACTCGGCGGCCCCATCGGCGCCTGAGGCCGCCCACCGGCAGGGCCCGCCTCCCGTCCTACAGCGTCCATCCGCCGGCGCCGACACCGCGCCGAAAGCCGTCTGGACACACTGGATGCCACAACGCATCCGAGGAACAGGGCCATGCAACTCTCCCAATCGCCGCGCGGCGACGCCGTCTCCCCGTCCCGCCAGCGCCGGCAGGCCCATGCGCTCGCGATGCTCGTGGCGGTCAGCCTGATCGGTGGCAGCGCGGTGATGAACCTCATCGACGACCCGCGCCCGCTGGATGTTCAACTGAGCGGCGCCTTCGGTCGCGCCAGCCAGACACTGATCGAGTGGCAGGACCAGCTCTCCCGGGGCCTGCATGTGTCCATGCTGGCCGTGGCGGACGGGCGGGAATTGCCTGCGACTGACACGGCGAGCACCCTGGTGGCGACCACGCCGGCCACACCGGGCGAGACCGCCGCCTCCGCCCCCGCACTGCAGCCGATTCAGTAGATCGAGGTCGGCTCCGGCACCGAGGTCAGCACCTCGGACAGGGGCTGGGGCCGGTGAAGCAGGAAGCCCTGCACCTCGCCCACGCCCAGCCGCACCAGCTCCAGCAGCACCTCAGGCGTCTCCACACATTCCGCCACGGTCGTGAGGCCGAGCGTGCGGGCCGCGTCGACGAAGCTGCGCACGGCGACCTGGTCCAGTGGATCGGTCATCAAGGCCCGCACGAACTGGCCGTCGATCTTCAGCAGGTCCACCGGCAGCACCTTCAGGTAGCTGAACGAGGACGAGCCGGCGCCGAAGTCGTCCAGCGCGATCCGGGCACCGAGCGACTGCATCTGCTGGATGAAGTGCGCCGCCTCCTCGAGCTGCGTGATGACGGCGGTTTCCGTGATCTCCAGGCACAGGGCCGACGCCCGCGCCGGGCCGAGTGCGGTCAGCAGCGTGCGGGCCTCCTGGTGGTAGGCCGCGTCCTGCAGCGTCAGTGCGGACACATTGATCGACAGCGAGGCGACCTCGCCGCCCTCCCCGCTCTGCGCGAGCAGCGCCACGGCC